CCCCCCACATTCAATCTGTCAAATCACGATTGTATGCTGCTGAATACATGATGCCGGCAATAAACCACAGTGCTGTAGTTTAAACTGGAGTGACATTCAGGGATCAGGGAGCATTGTCATTCTCCGTCCTATCTTGAACTCATTACAGCACTGAGCGATGACATCTGTTTGAGCACTCATACGGTCTGACAATTATTACTGCAAACAATCCACTGTTGTAATTTAATAATATAATAAACCAGAGGACAACACACTTTGGAAAGACAGGCTATTCATGAACATTTTTCCATCATAGTATTAAAAACCTGCATAACTTAGGGTCAGCTCCTCACACAGAAATATAATTCATTTAGGCTGCTTCTACTTTTAATGTTGCTGTACAAACATAATGTGTATGGTTGGAAATTGATGTATTGATTAGTTTTATATAGTGTCAGCAAAGAACATGCCCTTGGAATCAATAGCATAAAAACAAGGTTGACCTAAATTTACAAGTCCTGTCACACGCAGGATAATAATTCAATTATAGCGTAGAGTCAAAGCGTGAAAAATATTCGTTGTTTTTGTTTTTCTTGCTATTTTACTAAAGTATCACGACACAAGTAACCACCAGGAACAGAATAGGAAAGAAATGGAAGGCCGAGACAACACACCCCTGCTACTACCTCATGTGGAAATCATACAAAGCATCCTGCAGGCAGCAGGTTCATTTTATAGCTTCATCTATTACCACACTGTCATTGTTAATTGTCTTCTTTTTACCTCCGCAGGATTCTCCAAATTGGTCCTATCGAATGTGACAGGAGGAAGAGCATTAAGCATCTGACAAGATGATATCTAAGTTCAATTTCCTACTCCTCACCTGATTTATACCTGCAGCAGATCATTTTCCTTTCTGTCATAAAGACCTCTATAAATCAGTGGTGCTTATGGAAGCACTACAAAACAGGGTCTCTGGATTTGTATCCCCTGTGTTTGCTATTAAGAAGCCATTACAGCCACATTTTCCTCCTTCAAACAAAAATGATCAAATCTAATACTGGCAAGATTAGAGAGATAAAGAGAAAAAGCGCTGGCAGGGCTGTTCAACACAGTCGCCCTATCTAAACAATACGCTCTAAACTCGATGAAAACAGGGCTTTTTGCTGGTGACACCATTATCCATCTGTTTGGACAAAATTGCTGTATCATGGTATAAATCTGCGATACAAGTGACATATCCTCTAAAATAAAAGGGAACATTAACTGCTCTATCTTCTAGAGGCCATGGGACTAGCTGGCTATAAGCTCAGTCAAGTGTGATGGCAGTTATACTGTGTTTTACTAGACTGCAGACAATTATACTTTGCTCCTCTCCCCTAAGAAGACAAACTGCCATGGCTTCAGCTGAAATGATTTCAAATAGATTTTCCAAAATGTCTGTCGCCAGATTGCTTCCATACATTATTTCACTTAAATGGAGAGAAAAAAAGAGGGAGCAAATCCACAAATCAATCACAACAGCCCACTTTACCAGATGGAAAGACGAGAGCTTTCAGAGAGAGAGAGTGTGTGTGCGTGTGTGTGTGTGTGTGTGTGTGTGTGTGTGTGTGTGTGTGTGTGTGTGTGTGTATGTGTGTTGAAGACCTGCAGAGAAGGACAGTTATGGGATGTGCACAGTCCTGTCTCTGCTATATGTGTCTCACTCATCTTGAAGGATGACATAGAGTATCTACGTTCAATGGTGAGCTGGCAGGGCTGTAAAAGTGGAATAATGTGTAATGAACTGACCCGATGACTTCTTGAGGGTTCAACAACTAGTTCATATAACCGATCATGTGTAATCAATTAAGAGGAAAGGAACATATCATTTCACACAGGCAACACACACTGCTCTAAAAAAAAACAGATTCTGAAAGAAATACTCAATCTGTATCCAAAATCAAATATATATGCATAAAAACGATAAAAAAAAACAATAAATAAGAAAAATAGTCTAAATATTTTTATTTTGGTAAAAAAAGGCTGATTTTCTTTAAAATATTCTATGAAGTATTAGCATCATAATAGGCTATTTAAAGTGCCAGAAGTAAAAGCAGGCTGCTAATTGTTCAGAATGAATTCAAATTAGGAGTGCAATAGTGTGTTGATCACTTTAATGCTGCAGCTGGTAAAGCTGGGGCTAATCACATTACTGAATATATTGCAAGTTATCTTGATTTATAACAATATAACATTATTTTAATCTTAAAACGAATAATCAAAATTCACTATTTAATTAGGTCAATAAAATGGAAATACAAAAATATCATATTGGGTTGTGCCACAATCGAAGAAAGAATTATTACAATGGAAAGAAGCAGCTATGTTTTTATGAATTAGCTCTCATTAAATGTGCATGCTTTTAAAGAAAAGCCCATCCTATATATATCCTACATAAATATGCTATGTTTGTGGGCGGGGCTTGGGTTACGTTTTGTGTAACTTCAATAGATTTAGAATGTACAGCTACTCCAAATTAGCTACACACTTGTTTTTTTACTTTTTAGACACAAAATAAAACATTTAGTCACACAATAAAAAAACAATACACACATTGTATTTACCTCTAGATACAACAAATACAAATCATTGGATAACTGGTCGTCAATCACATAGTCATGATAAGTGACATTGTTTTGCTCTCATACAAACCTACAGTCGATGATACAAACCTTTAACCAATGGCTAAACCCCGCCCCTTTACCCGACATTGAATATGGTTGGCTGTTGACTTTAGGATTTCATGCTGC